CTAATTTAATTACTTCCATGGTGCCTGAAATGGTCCCCAGCTTTGTGGGGCCCTCACCAAGAATGCGTGGGTAGCTGGACCTGAGTGTGTGGACCTGCCAATCAAAGAGGGGAATCTGCAGAGCACACACTGTGACAGCTATTGGAGCATTAGCCAGCCAGTCCTTGAGGCCACCACGCTGTGAAACAGATTTCTGTTTGGTCTGAGTTTTGGGGGTGTTTATTTCCTGAGACAGGGTTAGTGTATTCTAGCTGTCTTCAGGTTCACTGTCTCCACGGATAACCTCAACCTTCTGGTCATTCTGTCTCTCCCTCCCCACTGATGGTATCGCAGGTATGTGATGTTGGCCCTGGTTTCCATGGTAGCAGATTTAACCCTGGGCTTTGTGCACAATGAGAAGCACAGAGCTGAGCCCAGCCCAGCACCTACCCGCACATTTGCTGTTTTGAGGCAGGGTTTCTTCAGATGGCCCAGGTCATGGCCTCAGGGCATCCTTCTCCTCGGCCTGTCCCACTCTGGAGTTACAGGAGCTCCATCACACAGCCTGAAGTAGATGCTGTTAACTCTAATTTAGAGATGGTCATATAGAGACCTGGGTGATTTAACAGAATACAAGTACTTCATTGTTAAAACAAACAAACAAAACAAACAAAAAATAAAACAAAACCAAAAAGCACCCTTGACCAAGAGGTAGACACCAGACCAAACAGGTCTTCTCCTATCCAGAGTGTTCTACTTGCTGGAAATCTGCAAAGGTTTACAGCCACCAAGGCCTTTGCAATCTGCCTAAGAATGGCTGCCTCAGCAGGGTGGTGTCTGTCACACAGGCCTCTGAGAAGCTGAGGCAGGAAGATCCCTGTGAGCTCCAGCCATCTGGGACTAAGTGGTGAGACTCTTAGCAATACAGCAAATGGAGCAGAAGGAAGGCACCTGGGGCTCACATCCCTTGCTCTGCCGGCTTTCTCGCTTCCTCTGCATCTGCTCAGAACTGTATCATCTGATAAAAACGAGGACTGAGCGAAACAGGGCTGCTCTGAGAAACTGTAAGGAGAAGAGAGGAAGAAAGATGCTGGAGCCTCCTGCTGAGGAAGGTTCTCCCCTCTCCAGTGTCCTGGGTGCCTTCTCCTGCCCCTGGCGCTCCCCACCCCTTAAAAGTCCTTCACAGCCTCCCAGCCTCAGAACCCTGAACTCTGTTACTTCCAAATATGGACCTCAATAAAAACCTAATTCCAGAATGAACCAAGGTCCTCTCAGAGTGTGTGTGTGTGTGTGTGTGTGTGTGTGTGTGTGTGTGTGGCAGGGGAGGCGGGTGGGGGTAAGAGATGTTAATAATTAGATCCAGATGTCTTGGATTCTAAGCATGAATTCTACCAGCAGCTTGGGGTTCTTGGGGTTCTCCTGCCCAGCAATTAAAACCCTTCACTGTACTCCTGCCTCTGAAGCCAGGCTAAAAGGACAGACAAAATGTCAAATATCTTCGTGTGGAGAAATAGATGTGGACCGGGTGTGGTGGCCATTCCGGTTAGTCCTAACACTGTGGGTGAGACACAAGGGAACCATTCTGAGCTCAAGGTCAGCGTTGCAAGCCTGGAGTCTCGACTACCATTTGAGACCCTGTACCAAATTTTCTATTAAAGATATATTCTAAGAACTGCTGATTCCCAGGGCAGAAGGAAAAAACCCAGGACTATCAGTGTCCACAGATGGTGGGGAGCAGGCCTCTGGGGTGTGAGGAGTAGCAAGGTCTCTGGGAGCGATGAGGCAGCTAGCAGGGACTCCTAGAGGAATCCCCAGCCAGAGCTGAAGAGTAATGGAAAAAGCCTGGAAGTTTAACTGGTTTAACCAGATTGGGGTAGTGATTCATTAGAACTGAATCCATTTCATTAGCCCTGACTGGAACAAGCTGCAGTCTGCCAAGGACACAAAGGGGATCTATGCATCTTCAAAACATCGGCTGAGATCAGCAAACTACAGCACAAACCATTAGATGCCCTTGGATTCCAGGAAGAGATGTCTTGATATGGACTTGTGTGCACACACACGCTAGCTCACACAAAGATGCCAGTGGAGCTGTGTTCAAAAGCAGGGCTCCCTCCAGAAACTGGAGCCTGCAAGTTACACTCAGGAACCTATGGGGGGAGGGGCTGGAATTCCAGTAGTTGGGGGTCAAAACTGGAGGATGGATGCTTAAGGCCAGGCTTGACTACGACACAGGAATCCAAGAACATGCTGGGCTACATGAGACCTTATCGAAAAAGAAAATTAAAAAGAGGAAAGAAGCCCAAAAAGATTCGTGTATATAGTCACTCCCTGCCATAGACTGTTACCTCAGAACTGGGGCTCTAATGAATCCTCCTTTTTTTTTTTTTTTTTTTTAAATAGGTTCTAAAGTGGCCCTGGCTGGCTGCGAATTATGGATCCTCTGGCCCAAGTGTGGGCCACCATACCCAGCAGCCTCATGCTGTAGTTTCTGGTCTCTAACTGGGGGGTCTTTGCCCCTTATGTGAGAGGAGGAACTGGGAAGGGAACAGGGAAGATGATCACTGACGACTAAATGTTTTTGTACTCAAAACAGGACATAGATGAGGCACTGAAGCTCAGAGGTCAATCAGTAGGCGGGTCCCAACACCTCTGCCTTAGGGTCTCACCCAGTACTTGGGTTTAAACGCACTGAGAGGTGTGACGCTGTCACAGGACAGAACACCCCATCTCTCCATCTTAACACGGAACTGGCGAGAGGCAGCAGTCACAGGCAGGAGAACCAAAGAACTCTAAGTTAACCCTGACTTTACTATCGCCATCAGAGCCAGAAACTGAGCAGAAAGAAAGGTGCCTGGCAAAGAGATACGCGAAGGAGAAGCCAAGCTGGCACGCTCTGCTTTCCTTAAAATGTTTTCAGACAAGGTCTCCCTCTGCAACCTAGACTGGCAATGGACTCCCTGCTGTCCTCCTGCCTCAGCCTCTCAAGTGAGGAGATGACTGGTGTGAGCCACCACACCCTGCCAATTTCTATGGAAAGTTTTATTTCTTACTAATGCCAGGCTCCAGCTTGAGGCTGCGTCCTGGCAGGGTCCACACTGCCCTGCCCTCCCGCTGGGACACTTTCCTTATTCGGGTCACAGATCCTCCTAACGTGAGAACCAAGGGTTTACACACAGGCGTCCCTTTGTAAACACTGGAGGCTCCCCATGGCGATCTACTGCTGACTTGTACATTAACCGTGGTGTAAACACAGAAAGAAAGGGAAAAAAAAAAACCTATCGTTCGTGACCTCTTCTCTTTCCCCTTTTAAACCTAAGATGGGAAAAAACAGAGGAACGATCATTTCTCAGGACGCCCGCAGGCTGTCACTCGAGCCTGGACCCAATCACAATCATTTTGGCTAAGAGTTATCCCGCCTCCTTTGAGGAACTTTCTGTGCCCCTGTCCTGTAGAAATGGTTTGCAGACCTTAAACCCACTCGATGATCTAAGTCTCATACGCCTCTCACCGCCCAGCACCTCCAGAGGTTGACCCTTGTCTGCTTCACTTGACCACAGGGACCGCTACCGTGCGTCCCCATGGCAACAGGGGCAGCAAGCACCTCCCGCCGCCCTACCCAGGAATCCGGCCTCTCCAGCGAACCCCAGAAGGGTCTGGAGAGTTCTGGACAGGGGCGGCACCCTCCTCAGCGATTACTCAGAGGAGGCGGGGAGGCTCCACCAGACGCGAAACTGCTAGAAGATTCCGGTCCCCACGGCCGCCTCCGGCTCGCTGATTGGCCCAGGGGACAGCGGGTGGGGCCGGAGGACGCCGCATAAAGGCGCAGGGCGGCGCGCCGGGCTCCAGACGCCGCCTGCGGTGCAGAAGCAATCTCAGGTTCCCACGCAGCGGAGAGAAGCGAAAGTGCGCGTTCCCGACCTTCCGGACCCCCGGCCAGGACCAGCCTTTCCCGGAGCACCCCCGCCGCAGAGCAGAGCGCAGCCTCGCAGGAGCTGAGCGCAGAGCCCCAGCAGCAGAGAGAGACCGAGAGCGAGCGAGCGAGCGAGCGAGAGAGCCATGGCCAAGAACACGGCGATCGGCATCGACCTGGGCACCACCTACTCGTGCGTGGGCGTGTTCCAGCACGGCAAGGTGGAGATCATCGCCAACGACCAGGGCAACCGCACGACCCCCAGCTACGTGGCCTTCACCGACACCGAGCGGCTGATCGGCGACGCGGCCAAGAACCAGGTGGCGCTGAACCCGCAGAACACCGTGTTCGACGCGAAGCGTCTGATCGGCCGCAAGTTCGGCGACGCGGTGGTGCAGTCGGACATGAAGCACTGGCCCTTCCAGGTGGTGAACGACGGCGGCAAGCCCAAGGTGCAGGTGAGCTACAAGGGCGAGAGCCGGGCCTTCTACCCCGAGGAGATCTCGTCGATGGTGCTGACGAAGATGAAGGAGATCGCCGAGGCGTACCTGGGCCACCCGGTGACCAACGCGGTGATCACGGTGCCCGCCTACTTCAACGACTCGCAGCGGCAGGCCACCAAGGACGCGGGCGTGATCGCGGGTCTGAACGTGCTGCGCATCATCAACGAGCCCACGGCGGCCGCCATCGCCTACGGGCTGGACCGGTCGGGCAAGGGCGAGCGCAACGTGCTCATCTTCGACCTGGGGGGCGGCACGTTCGACGTGTCCATCCTGACGATCGACGACGGCATCTTCGAGGTGAAGGCCACGGCGGGCGACACGCACCTGGGCGGGGAGGACTTCGACAACCGGCTGGTGAGCCACTTCGTGGAGGAGTTCAAGAGGAAGCACAAGAAGGACATCAGCCAGAACAAGCGCGCCGTGCGGCGGCTGCGCACGGCCTGCGAGCGCGCCAAGAGGACCCTGTCGTCCAGCACGCAGGCCA